AAACACTCAGCGATCACTGAGTGTTTGTACCTCGCTCTCCATCCCGACAGCTGTCACAGGAGGTTGAGCGAGTAGTGCAGGGAGGAGAGCTCAGCCTCCTGTAACAGTGTGGCTGTCTCCGCCCACACACCGCTCTGCCGATCTGTGACAGGAGGCTGAGCGTTGTGGGGAGGAGAGACGTTGGCCGCTCACAGCGCTCTGCTCCCGCAGCGTTTGGCCGCCTGTGACACTTTCTCTCCTCCCCGCTGGGACACAGAGCAGCGCCCAGCGTGGATGAAAGAAAGCAGGGATGTGCCGCTAAATTGTCAGAAAATTGCACTTTTGGCATTTATCCAAAAGTGCCATTTTCGGCTAATATGTTTCATTGGCCGATATATTGGTGCATTCCTAATGTAAACATATACTATATGCATGTAAAATACACACACATAATAGTTACTGCTACAATCACTATGTGCAACTTCTTACAAGCGCATCATAAAAAATAACAAAAAGGAAATTCTTAGCTATCATTTTCAGCTTCCTTACAAGCACTTTGAAATAAAATGTATGATTAGCATTTAGAAAATATGTGTTTATCATTACGAGTGGCAACCTGCTAAGGCCAATGCCTCCAACCACTGCTTACTTAGTGCTCATGTACTCCCAGCTAATTAAATTGTGGCCAGATCTCGAGGGATGAACTTGGCTTTATTTGCTGCCTCTAAGATTGCCAGCAGTCTCCACATCATGCAAACTTGCGGTGAATCTCTATTTATATAGCAGCTATTGCATCATGTTCAAAACAAGCATTTAATGAAGACAATCCATATTTACTTTAGTGATAAACGTGTAAAGTACATTATATACTTGGCAACATGCACAGTATATGGGAAATTGAATTAAGATGTACTGGCAGGAACGTTAATATCTACTTAAATGTATTTAGCTTAACCTTGTTACAAACAATTTTAAATGGCAACACTGCTAATGCAAATATGGATACACAACTAATAGTATTATATGACTAATATGCAATGGGAACCTTCTTGTGCCATCAACACTGGATGCCGGTAATATACTGTAACACTGAAGAACTGCCTTACCAACAGAGTTTTTCAAGCTTATTTAAAGTGGAATTATGGGCAACCACAAAATTAGATATATGATGAAGTCTCTCACTAGCATTAACACGGCAGTTTTGACTTTTCTTAGCTCACACCTAAACATAAGTTAATATGGCCTCATTTAGACTGGCAGATAGCTTCTCCACCAGCAATAATCAACAATCGGCCTTACTGTGTGAAAATAGTACCCTGTACAAATCAATGACTGGTACCGCTGCTGTTCACATGTTACCACTTGTACAAGTGGTTACTGGCAAATAGAACCTCTGATCATCCCCGGATGCAGACAGTTTGAGTTCAGAGCCAGTGTTTTCTGGCTGCAGAAAAACTGGACACAGCTTATCATCTAATCTGAATGCCCCAGAACAGAGTGCTGCTGCATACAGATGCTGTGTTTAGCTGGGTTTAGCCGCCTCTGGCCCCAGCAGACTATCCAAACATCTGAATGAGGCTTTACCTGTTGAGTCTGCCAGTATATGCTTCATCTTTCCACTTCCTTTAATAGGCCAACAATGCTGTTCATTATGAACAGGGTAGTCTCAGATGGACAGGCTGTTTTAGATGGGTTATAATTTAAGAAAAACTCTTTTGTTAAAAAAAGATATAGAATGTAAAAATGCTACACAAGCCATTATGATTTCAAAATGGCCTTTTGTTTTCAATCAGAAGCTGTTGTAATCTTCTAAAACTGTCAAAAATGCATTGCAATATGGCAACTTGAAGGCGTTCTCTACACCATTGGTGTACAGGATGCCATCAGAAATTTGTTTTCCTGCTTGCATGATTGGCTCACTCATTTTCTCTGAAGTCTGCACTAAGATACAAAAAAAAATTAGGGTTCCCCTGCTATAGGAATTTCATTTTTGGTGAGAAACTCCCTACGGCGTGCCTACGAAAGGGACGTAGACACTACAGCTTTCAACATTAAAACCCTAAGAGCGAACCAGATGGTAATAAAAAAGCCAACCCTCCTATTCAGGGATCTCTCTGGTAAGGACATTGTGAAACAAACTGTTCCCTACAACAGAAAAAGGTAGAAATATGCAACAAAGATTTTCAAAATCCTTGTGATATGTGCAGGTCATCTAGAGGGCATTGGGTTTTTTTTTCTCAGAAAAAGTGGGAGGGGCACTTCAAGTGATAAACAAATTAAGTTACATCTTCAGCTAAAATATTACAAGCAACTGCAAGCAACTTTTTTTTACTTTGGAAAATGTGTGAATAAAAGGTGAATGTTATATGACAGCACTAAGAAGTTTTTTACAATCACTAATCTGATTTAAATTGGCCTAGGAAGTTTGAATGAGATTGGTAATGCAGGAAGCAGAGAGAAGGTAGACAGCACAGGTGCCAGGAAGTACACACTGCCCTCCTACAGGCCCTGTGTGGAGTTGGGTGTCCTTATTCTGCAAGTAAAACACAGAACTCAGATTAAGGTGAGCTCAGTAAACTTTTACAATTTTAGCCTTGTTGTTGTGTTTACTAGACAGCAGCTCACTGAATTACTTCAGTTGGTGTTGAAATTTCTATAGTTTGAAAGTTGTGGCATTGAAGAAACACTTACTCTATATAAACTTGACTCTTCTTATCATACTGTCCTCAGAAGAAGCTTCATCAGAAACAATAATGTGTGGACTTAAAACTTTAAAATTCCCCGATTATGATGAGGCGCAATATATATATATATA